GAAGCTGAAATAACTTATTTTTATTGCTCTCATTGTTTTTGTGGGGTTTCCAGTTGTTCAGTAATTAATCAAAACACTTCTGTAATTTTTCTTCACACTCTATAGAATGAGAAAACTTTTTTGTATTTATTTAAAAAAAAAATTCACCCATCCTCCACCTGCCTCCCCTTTGGCAACTGTCATCAGCTTGCTCTCTGTATCTATGGGTCTGTTTCCCTTTTCTTTTGTGTATCCATTTGTTTTGTTTGTTTCAAATTCCACATGTAAGTGAAATCATGCAGTGTTTGTCTTTTTCTGTCTGACTTGTTTCACTTAGCATAGTACACTCTAGGTCCATCCATGTTGTCGCAAATAGCAAGATTTCCTGTTGTTTTTTTTTATTGCTCAGGCATATTTCATTTTATATGTATACCACATTTTCTTTTTGTATTCATCTCTCAGTGGACATCTAGATTGTTTCCATATCTTGGCTATTGTAAATAATGCTTCAGTGAACATGGGACATATTTTTAACATAATTTTTGAATTAGTGTTAAATTTTTCTTCAGATCAGTACCCACAAGTGGTATTTCTGGGTCATGTGGCAGCTGTATTTTTAATTTTTGAGGAATCTCCATAGTGTTTTCCTCAGTAGCTGTATGCAAAATTCTGCATACCCTTTTTTAAACAAGGCTACCAAAACTGCATAAATTTCAGGCATCACAAAATTTTTACCTAACCCTGCAAGTCAAGGAAGAAAGATAGGCTGGGGAGGATTAGTCAGACAGGATTACTTGAATATACTATGCATGGCTACAGATCAAGACTGAGGGTTATAAGGAGAGCTAACAGAAGCAACAAACTTTTCTTTAAATGTGGGCAGTTTTTAGCTTCTCAGAAAGAGAAGTGTCCTTTGAAGGGGTTAAGGAGCATTGTGGAGAAAGAAGACAAGAAAGATTGGTGACTATAGACATACTATTAAGTGAAAAAAATATACATTTTAAATTCTGTATATCCCACACAAATACATATCCCCGGGTGTGACAATCAACAAAATCTCAAATCCTTACAGCAAGCTGATAACTTAGCTGATAATATCCCTATTTTGTGGCCACAGAAACAGCAGATATGAAGATTATTTGGATTGTCTAAGACCTCACAGCTAGCAAATATCAAGGTCCTGCAGTGTGCATTCTTTCTGTACACCACACTCTCTCTCCAAATGAGGTTACGCACTTTCTGAGAAATATACTGAAAATACACGCACCTTCCGAGATTACCGTTCAGTTCCTGCTGCTATATGGAATTGTCTTTACTCTTTTGTTCTCCATTTCATTCTTTGACACTTCAAATGGATTTCATTGTGTTTTGCTTTGGCCATTTTATTACCTCTTATATCCAAGATTTGGAAGCAGCCCAAGTGCCCACGGGTAGATGAGGGGATGAAAGAGCTGTGGTACATTTACACAATGGAATACTACTCGGCCATAAAAAAGAAGGAAACCTTACCTTTTGTGACAGCATGGATGGATCTGAAGAGTGTGACATTAAGTGAAATAAGCCAGTCAGAGAAAGACAAATACCATATAATTTCACTTATATGGGGAACCTAATGAAAAAAATAAAGTAACAAACAAAATAGAAACAGACTAATGGAAACATAGAACAGACTGACAGCTATCAGAGGAGAGGGGGTGGGGGCTGGGTGGAAAAGGTGAAGGGATTAAGCAAAAAACAAGCAAAAAGCCTCACAGACACAGACTATAGTATGGTGATTACTAGAAGGAAAGGGAGGTGGGAGGAAGTAGAGAGGGTAAAGAGGAGATAAATAGTGATGGAAGGAGACTTGACTTTGGGTGGTGAATACACAGTACAATATACAGATGATGTATTAGAATTGTACAACTGAAACCTATATAATTTTATTAACTTATGTCTCTCCAATAATTTCATAAATAAAATATGTCTTAGAGATCTGTCTATATCAGTGCATTAGGAATTCCTTCAGTATTTCTTAGGACAGTATGGTGTTTCATTTTCTAGACATACGATATTTATTTAAACAATCTATTACCAATGGATACTTAGGTCACTTCTGATTTTTTGTTAATACAAAGAATGCTAAATAAATTAACCTTTTATTTATGCCATTTCACATCTGTGCATGTATATTTATACGATGAGTTCCTAGAAGTGAATTTGCTAGGTCAAAGAGTATGTGTGTGTGTATGTTATACTTTTGCACTCCAATCATTAATACATAAAAGTGCATTTTCACCCTTATGTTCATGGACATAGCATGTCGCCAAGCTTTTCAGATCTCTGTCAATCTGATAGTTGAAAATACCCTCTCAATAGAATCTCAATTTTTATTCTTTACTTTTATGAGTGATTTAGCAATTCCTCAGATGCTTAAGATCTATTTTTATTTCCTTTCCTTGGAACTGTTATAATTTTTTCAGTAATTTTTCTATTGCATAATCTTACAGCTTTTTATTGTAGGAGGTCTTTATATAATAGAGAAATTGGCACTTTGTGAAATAATGTGTTGTTAGGGGATATCTTACATTACTGTATCAAAAATATCCCAAAATGGAGTGGTTAAATGTGGTAGAATTTTTTGTCCTTTCATGATTGTAATAGATACAAAGTCCATGTATCAACAGATGACTTCTAACTGTGGGCCCAAGGTGACACGTATGATTCTTACTCACCCCTAGAAATCAAGAAGAATAGAAAGTTCCAGAGGAGTCTTCCCACAGTCTTTTAAGGGCAAGAATCAAAAATTCTATGCCTTACACTCACTCAAACACTCTTGGCCAGAACTTTGGTGAAGGCCCTATCTAGAAACTCAGGGGACCGGGAAAGGTAGCCTTTAGGTTGGCGGCCCTGTGCCACTGCAACTAGTACTTTAGCAATAAGCCTGGCAGCTGCGGGCAGAGGTTGCAATGCAGCTGCAGAGGCCGCAGGGTCCAGAAGCAGCCTGGGCCATGGGGGCCGCTCACAGCGACATGGAAGGGGAGGGCAAGAATGTCACGGAGCCTGGGATCGTGTCATCATTTAGGCATTGAAGGGAGTCTTCCTCAAAGGTGAAAAGGGCAGAGCTAAGAAAGCTCACAAGAAGGTGACAGAGCAGCGACCTCTGCACATTGGGCTGCTGTCCCTGCCTGAGGGAGTGGAGCCCGACACACTGCTTAGTGACTACATTGAGGAGGAGGTGAGGTTTTTAGGTCACTTAATGTTCAGACTAAGACTTAAAACCATCCAGTAGGACAGACATCCCGCACTTCATAGACGATGAAAGGAGAGCCCACCAGCTCCCTGGACAGTCGGCCCAGGCACACGACAAGGTCATCAGCCTGTCTCCTTACAATGTCAAGCTGGCCTGGAGGAATAAGAAGGACACTATCCTCAGGGTCCCCATCCATGACATTGCACCATGTCCTACATGCAGGATAACGCTTCACACCTGGTGGTCCTGAAGACAGCGCAGGACCCCTGTATCTCCCCAAGCCAGAGTCTGTGTGTGGAAAATTCCAGAGGCCTCACCGCAGGCTCGCTGTCAGAGAGTGGAGTGGGGCCTGTGGAGGCCTCCTCCTGGTGATCGTGGCCGTGGAGAGCAAGGTGGCAGCGGAGGAGCTGTACTCCCTGCTCAGGCAGGTCTTCCAGATCCTGTGTACGGCGCCCACCATCGACTTTCTGGACAGGACCATATTTGATGGGGCCTTGGCACCCACCCACCTGCGATCTGTCCCTCCACAGTCCTGATGACTCTTCCACCAAGGTGCACATGAAGGAGCCATACAAGACGGATGCCAGCACCTTCTCCTTCCCCAAGCGCTGCACGCGGGCAGCATCTCGCCCTCGCCCTGCGTGCCCACAGTGCCCCTGGCCAAGATGTCCCATGAGAACAAGCTGAGCGCCAGGGCCGTGGACCTGCTATGGGACTGCATGTCACGCTGTGCACCAAGCTGTCCTCTCAGGATATCCAGCAGTTTGCAGCGCTGCTGCTTTAGTACCACGCCAGGGCCTAGGTGCACGAGTTGTGCACCCACCTGCTGGAGCTCTATGGGGACAGCCATGAGTTTCCGCTGCTGGGGCTGCGGTGCTTCATCCCTGAGGACAGCCAAGTCCTTCGAGAACTTCCTCGAGACCGTCAGAGGGAAGGACAGCCACGACGTAATCACCGACAGCTTCAGCTGGTACAGGTGGGCCATGAGCTCCACCTCCACCTCAGTGGGCACAGGGCAGCGGGCAGCTCCAGCGACCAGTCGGTGCCCTCCACTGTGGGGGAGTGGGGACCGCATAATGTCAGACATCAGCGATGACATCGAGGCACTGGGCTGCAGCATGGACCAGGCCTTGGCCTAAGAGTGTGGAAGCCCCCGTGGGTCCACCCTCCCCATGGAAGGTGGGGCTGGGCCAGGCCCCCGGCGAATGTGTCCCTCTATTGTGAAGGAGACCCTGGTCCGCCTGCCCCACACCGGTGTTGGTTTTGCACATGACCCTCCTACTGCAACTCTCAGAAACCTTTAAAGAGGTTTATTGAAACGTGAGAAAAAAATATATAAGCGCCGACTTGCTGTGATGGATAATTATCCATTTGCCAAAACATGTCATTTTTTTCCAGTGAGTCCCTTTGCCTTTGCTTCTTGTGGATTGTGACTTGCAAAATGGCACTTTGTTTCTATATCTGAATTTATCATTTTTTATGGTTTCTGGCTTTAGTGTTCCCTTTACAAAGACTTTTCTCATTCTGTGATTATGTCTTGAAAATCTTCTATCGTTTCTTCTAGGAAATGTTCTAGGCGCGGTGGCAGCAGCCCCTGCTGTTTCTACCTCTCCCTCCCTGTCTTACGCTTCCTCTTTTGACATTTGAAATTTATAATATTAAATTATTCGTTTCATTATCAGTCAAAATGCCTGACCCCAGAAATGACATTTATAGTCTATATTTTTGGCATTATATATTCACACAGATACTAGCCTTAAATCTTCTAAGATTCATTCCATGAGTATGGTCATTCTTCATGGACAAGTTGCGAGATACACTGAACTCCACTGATTTGTTCACTGCATTTATGCCCTCGATCTATTTCTCCTTGGAAATGAAAGAGAGCTGGTGGGGTGTAAGGAAGCCCATCTGATAGCTTAGGGAAAGATACAGGAAAGAGAGCTTCAAATGTTCATTAAATGGAATTAATCATTGAAATAAAAGTAATATACTTTATAAAAGGTGATTTAATGACTTGGAAAATTTAATTATGGTGATCTGATTAAATTAAAGTGTCACAAAACATTGGTATCGTCAGAATTGATTTGCGAGCACCATTGCAATTTTAGACTGATGAAGCTGCAGCAGGAGATAAAATAATTTTCTCCTCCAGTTAAGAGTCAAGGGACTGAAGTTGTGATATAAAAATACATGCGATAATAACTTGACACTGTGCCTGCCACTCCTCTCTGTCTCTCGCATTCTTTCTCTCCTTTCTTCCCCATCCTCTCTTTGATTTTTCCCTACTTATTTCCATCTCTTCCCCTTTTCTCTCTTACATTTTGTGCTGATTTCCTACTTCTGTCATGCACTGATTATTCTGACTTCAGAAATTAAGTTCTTTCATTTCCTACTTGGGTGTCTGAGCAGGAAGCTGAGAGTGGTCCTCATCACAAATCCCATTACCACTCAAAAGAACAACTTTGACTCCTTTCTTAAAAATTATGTTCACTATTGGCTATTAGTGATATATAAAAAATCATATCTTGATACAACCCTGAATGTAGTTAAATTATAATTTATTGCCTTTCTTGAGATACTTTTGTAAATTTTTTATTGAATTTATTGGGGTGACATTGCTTCATAAAATCATACAGGTTTCAAGTGGACAGCTCAATTAAACATCCATCACCTGCACACTGAATCATTCGCCATCGCCCCAAGC